AACAAGGCGAAGGAAGAGACTGCCCTAAAAGCGCTGAAGGACAAGTTGTCAGTATTCGAGTTAGAGCAAAGCATTGGCCGAGAAGTCAACAAGGTGGACTGTTTGGAGGAGGAAGTACTTACAAAAGAACTAGACGACGAAGTGATGCGGATTGCCAAACCTGGATACGCTCAAGCACAAGACCCTCTGATCAAAGTAAATATTGGCGATGAAGGAGAAGATCACCCAACGTTCATTAGCCAGATACTCGACCAAGAGGTTAGTAACAAATTAATCGCTTTGTTAAAAGAGTACAAAGATTGTTTTGCTTGGGAATATGAACAAATGCTTGGTTTAGATAGAGACTTGGTGGAAATAGGTTACCAACTAAGCCTAATTTTAAACCTCATAGGCAATCTCCTAGGTATTTTGCTCCTAATGTATTCCCTGAGATTAAGAAAGAGATAGAGCGATTATTGAAAGCAGGTTTTATAAGAACAGCCAGATATATTGAATGGTTGTCGAATATTGTGCCAGTACTAAAAAAGAATGGTAAACTAAGGGTGTGTATAGACTTTGGGAGTTTAAACATAGCTACACCTAAAGATAAATATCCAATGCCCACGGTGGATTCTTTAGTAGATTCAACTGCCGGACATATCATGTATTCTTTCATGGATGGGTATTCAGGATACAATCAAATTTATATAGCTGAAGAAGACATACACAAAACTGCCTTTAGATGCCCTGGGTCTCTAGGATGTTTTGAATGGGTGGTTATGCCTTTCGGCCTAAAAAATGTAGGGGCAACTTATCAAAGGACAATGAATTTAATCTTTCATGATATGATAGGCAAGTTTGTTGAGGTGTATGTAGACGACATAGTAGTCAAGTCCATTAAAGAAGAAGACCATTTCGAACAGTTAAGATGTTCGTTTGAACGAATGAGGCAATATAAGCTAAAGTTGAATCCCTTGAAGTGTGCATTTGATGTTAATACAGGGAATTTTCTTGGTTTCTTAGTACACAAGAGAGGGATTGAACTTGATAAAAATAAAGCGAAGGCTATCTTAGAAGTCAAACCACCTAGCAACAAAAAGGAGTTGCAAAGGTTTCTAAGCCAAGTAAATTTTTAAGACGCTTTATTTCTAACTATGCAGGGCGAACTAAAATCTTTTCGCCGCTATTAAAGCTGAAAAATCAGGACGAATTCGTCTGGAAAGAAGAACATCAAAAGGCTTTTGAAAGCCTGAAGACATATCTATCAAATCCACCAGTGTTGGTGTCACCAATCCAAGGACGGCCAATGAAAGTGTATGTATCGGCTGAAAAAGAATCAATAGCTGGAATGGTCGCACAGGAAGACCAATTTGGTGAAGAAAGGGTAATTTACTACTTAAGTAGACGGTTAACGAAATGTGAATGTAATTACTCTGCTGTTGAAAAATTGTGTCTTGCACTGTATTTCACATGTATAAAATTAAGGGCTTATTTACAGCCCGTAACCGTTTATTTAATTTATAAAGTAAATTTAGTTAAGTATATGTTCTCGCGCCCTATTTTACACCAACGGGTAGGCCTTTGGACACTAACTTTATCAGAGTTCAAAATACAATATATACCTCAAAAGGCAGTCAAAAATCAGGTTTTGGCTAACTTTCTAGCCGATCAACCATGCCTTGACATACCTGAAGAAATCGAACTAGAAATCAATTCGTTCGAGTTAAAACCTTGGGTGTTGTAATTCGATGGGTCAAAAACCTCTAAAGGTGCAGGAGTAGGAGTAGCATTGATTAATCCTTTAGGGATTTGCTACAAGTTTGCATTCACTTTAGACAGAATGTGTACCAACAATCAGGCCGAATATGAAGCCTTAATTGTAGGCTTAGAGCTAATGATAGATATGGGAGTAAGAAATGTGATCGTTAGGGGCGATTCTCAATTGGTGATACATCAATTGATCGGTGATTTTAAATGCCAAAGTGATTCCATTATAAGTCAATATGAGATCGCCCAAGAATTATTAGAAGAATTCGATCAAGTAGAACTTCAATGCGTTAATAGGATATATAACGACGTGGCAAATGAGTTAGTCCAAATGGCTTCAGGGTACTCAAAGGTCTTGAATTGGAAATCTACTTGTGAGTATGGAATCATATTGCCCGTAACTCAAAGAAGGGCGAGAAAAATTGAACTTCACTGCATACAAGATGGAGATGCAGTGGATTGGAGAACAGAGATTAAAGGATTCCTTAAAGAACCTAATGGAGGGATTAGTAGGAAAACAAAGCTATGTTTGCTGAATTACACACTAATAGATGAAGAGTTGTTTAAGAAACGCTCTGATGGTGTATTACTAAAGTGTGTAAGTTTGCAAGAAGCCAAGACGATCATGGCTGAAGTACACGAAGGGATATGTGGAGCTCAGCTGGCCAAAGGATGAGATGGTTAATTATTAGGAGTGGATATTTTTGGTCAAAGATGGGAGATCTATGCGTTCAGTATGTAAAAAGTTGTTTAGCATGCCAAAAGCATGGTCCAATACAAAGGGCGCCAGCACGAGAGATGACACCTATTATTAAACCTTGGCCGTTCAAAGATTGGGCGATAGATCTGATAGGGAAGATCTACCCTCCATCGTCCAAGCAACATACTTTTGTTATAGTTGCAACCGACTATTTCACCAAATGGGTAGAGGCGGTACCTTTGAAAGAGATCACCCTTATAGGTTTGGAATTCCACAAACTTTAATGGTAGATCACAGAACATCTTTGAATGGGGATCAAGTGAACAAATTTTTGAGCGAATTTGGAGTTAAATTAGTAAACTCCACACCATACTACGCTCAATCCAACGGACAAGCGGAATCTTCTAATAAGATTCTAAAAAATATCATCAGAAAGATGATAGATGAAAACGCCAGAAATTGGCACGAATGTTTGAACAAGGCCTTATGGGCTTATAGAACATCACCTCGGTCAAGTACCAAAGTTACTCCTTTCCAACTTGTTTATGGACAGGAGGCCATTTTGCCTATGGAAATCAACGTGCAATCGATTCGAGCATGCTTGCAACATAAGTTGAATGATGATGAGTATGCCGAATCACTAGTTCAAAATTTATTGAGTTTAGACGAATTGAAGTTGGACGTCTTAGATAGGTTGCAAGTTCAAAAGCAAAGAATGGCTAAGTTTTATAATAAAAAAGTCATAGTCAAGTCGTTCAGCCTGGATGAACTAGTTTGGAAGACGATACTCCCTTTGGATACCAAGGATCCAAAGTACGGGAAGTGGTCGCCCAATTGGGAAGGACTATACAAAATAAACAGTGTGTTGGCCAATGGAGCGTACCACTTGGAAGATTTAGACGGCACCAAGCACGTAAAATTCATTAACGGCAAATATTTGAAAAATTATGTTCCTTCTTTATGGAAATATGAACAGATAAAAACATAACCAAACATTTTGAACGATCAAAAGATAATAAGGTCAGAGCGAAATACGTTCGAATAAAGTTCTTTATTATCAAACGTTCATTACAAGAATACAAAAGATACAAATAATGGATGTGCTACAAAATACAACTAAAGTAAGATAATCTCCCGGTTGATCGCTGAGTAAGCTTCACACCGCCTTTCTAAATGCATTGCTGCAATGGTGGGATTGTCGAGTAAGAGGGTGTACTGGCCTCACCACCTTCCTAAATGCATCGCTGCAATGGCGAGCAAAGAGGCTGAGAAGCACTCTCAGCAGGCAAGCTGAGAAGCACTCTCAGCAAGCAAAGTGGCCCACAAGCAGCCCAAAAATTGTCTTCCATCTTTGACTCCTTGTGAAGAATAAAGAGACGATGGGAAGAATTTTGCAGGAAAGAACTTCGCTGCTGGCCAGAAAATATTTCCTATACCTCCCATACCAAAGGTGACATCAAGGTAAATAGTAAGGTGGGCGGACTAAACAGTCCATTTTGAATCAGATTGATCGTCAGAATGCCGAGAAATGGCAGCAAATTGATTTCGAAGAAGAAAATGAAGAGATGAAGATAGAAGATGAAAAATGCGAAGCATTTATAGGGGTGAAGATAAAGAGACAGAATATGAACAGCCACATTTCTATCTAATAAACGAAATTAAATAGCCCAAAGTCTTGGGAAAAGTGGTGGAAATATCAAAAAGAAATGGACAAGATTCTTAGTGCAAAGCAGTTAAGTGCTTAAAGAATTGATGACTAAAAAATAAACGTCAAATAAATGCACAAGAAGTTAATGTTCATTAATGATGAACAAAGTTACAAAGGGAAAAATCGAATTACAAAAGAAAAAGACATCATATGTCTTAATTACAGTCTACCCCATATGGAACGAATTCATTCCCTAAGTTTTTCCCAATCCTCATTCTGCTGAGAGGAAGTGATGTTCAATTCAGCCGCGACATCATCATCAACTTCTAACTTCTTGTACTGCTCGACCAAGGACTTAGTTCGCTCAATTCCCTGGGAGGCGTTGCGCTTTTTAGCAGCCATTCTCGCCCTGCAGTCGTCCATTTTAGCTTGAAGTTCCCTCATCTGAGCAGCCAAGTTAACCATCAAAGAGTCTTCAATCATGATTTCGGAAGAGATTTCTTTCAACTCGTCCTCAGCCTTGTTAATCTCCATACGCAAAGACTATTTCTCAGCTACGGCTCGAAGATATTGAGTACGCTTGGCCTTTAGTTCAGCATTTTTGGCCAGCATAGAAAGGACCTCGGAGTGGATAACCTTCAACGTCGCTTTAAAATCGACAGAAAGATTGAGCGACGGAAGCGTCAGTGCTTGCCCCAACTTCGCACTCAAGTGCTCAAGTTCATCCTTGTGTCTGGCAGCACTAGCCCTTCCAATATCCATATCCATGAAGGATACGTACTCAAATATCGACTCCTTTAGGAACTTCAAATCTTCCTCTAAAGAAGCAACAGGAACATCAGATGGAGCAGGGCGAGACATTTGGACTTGCCCCCAGGTAGCGAACAAGTCTTGGATAGAACACACAATCCTGTCAGCATCCTGCAAAGAAAATTGCCAATGTTAAAGATGCTCACCATAACGAACAAAATAGAAATAGAAGTGAAGCAAAGACTACCTCATCAACGATCGTGGAAGATGGCATGCCCTCAACCAAGTCTGCCACTAACGACTCCTCCATTCGTGAGGACTTCCCCTTGTCTGAGCGAGAAGATGTTGCCACAACGGGTGGACTCATAGGAGTATCTGCAAAAGTCAAGAGCAACAAGTCAGAAACCAACAGCACTAGCAAAGGTAAGACATCGAAAAATTGAATTACCTTCTGCTTCGATGTTTGGGGGGTCGACGCCCTGGGAAGAAGGTGGCTCATCCATGGGTTGTAATGAAGACTCTGGGACTGAAAATGTATCTTTAAGCGTAGTCCCCTCATCAACCGGTTTGGATGAAGTAGCCTCAGCAGAGGATGATGGAGCAGGAGTTGTCGATGCCAAAGCCTTTGAAGGAGAGGCTGAACTTTTCTGAAAAGTCCAAAAGATCATCAGCACACACAAAAGTTTCAAATGTGAAAAAGTATACTTGTAAGTAAACCAATTTAATTACCTTCCTCCTGACGATAAGAGGGGCATCATCATCATCATCAACATCATCCTCCAGAATGGGAGATGCTGAGGCTGGCCGTTTGCGGCTTGGAGCACTCTTGGCAGTAGTAGGCTTGGCAGGGAGAGAAGAAGATGGACGAGCAGACTGTTTAGTGCGACGAGAAGGAGAGGGGCTCCGAACAGACAAAGGAGTGACCAAAACAGGAGGAGGAGAAGAAATGCTCGGTTGGTCTAATGAATGAAAGGCACGATTGGCATCAGTCGCAAATAATCTGCGCTTCACCGACGGCTAGAGTTGTTCAAAAAGAGGGTGAATGGCGTGGCTAGAATTGAAGGGGGCCAATGAAAAATGACTGGTTAAAAGAAGATTACGAGTATCTATAGCCTCTGCCTCCGCCTTAGTAATGGTATGAAAATGGTCAACTAAGTTCCTTGAATAGCAAGGAGGAACAGGCCAGGTTTGGCCAAAACCAAACTGACGAGCAAAAAATTGGGGAGCATAAATCTCTACCCCCGCTTTGGCATTGGTCCCAGTTAGAATATCATGAAATAACTCCCTCCCAGTTAAAAACTGGATCCAAGTGAGCAGGGAAGTGCTCGCGTTATCTATAGTGGAAGGGGGATGTACATAGTTTGGAATCAAAAAAGGAGGAAAAGGAAAAAAGGAAGGGATTGAATCCAAAGAATAAAAGAATGAAAAAAGGTCCCTTCTGGACATATTTACAGGAGTTAAGGGCTCCATGGCTAGCCCATAACAGCTAGCAGAAGGGCGAGAAATGGATGGAGCACCCAACGATGGAAAATAGGATCTCAACCACAGTTGAGTGAACCAAAGAGGTTCACTGCCAGTGAGAGATGCACCATTCTTCAATTGAGCTTGAAGAGAGGCCATGCCTCTATAAAGGGCAGCCAAAAATAAAGAACATAAATTCAAAGGCCTGTCACGCGCCAATTCGTGCGCTATAGGTAAATAACTCAGAGAAGGCTTTATACTTGGCACGCACAAAACATTTTTACAAAGCCAAACTAAAAGGAAGGCCACTCGCTCAGTATGGGTAGGCTCAGCACTCAAATGATTGTGGAGGGTCTGCAGGCTTGAATAAGAATCGGTGTAGTTTCTACCAAACTTTGGGGCGCCACCAAAAACTAAGATATCAGGAAAAATGGTATCACCCAAAGGTGGCAGATTCACTAGGGCCCCAACATCCCTTAAGGTAATAGACATGGGGCCAAGAGGGAAAATAAAAGTGTTATACTCAGAAGATCAAAAACTCAAAGCAATTGAAAAGAGTGCTGAATCGAAAGTAGGGGGGCGGACAGAGATTTCCAAATTCCAACTAATCAGAAATCCTAGCGCTATCAAAAAGTGCATTAGTAGGACCATGACCCACAAGGCGAGTATGCCACTTACGAAAAGCTACATCAGATTTAGGCCAAGTGCGAATACCTCTTTCGCGAAGTGGCCCCAACGGCAGAGAGTTTAGAAAAGGAGGGCCATGAGTGCAAGGAAACAGCTGACCCACCGCCGCCTGTTCAACTGCCTCCGCATTGTTGAAGAAAGGACCCAAGTAAAACTCATTACGTCCAACGTCGGCGGGCGCGAGAAAACTTGGGGTTATGTATGGGCGACTCAAAAGTCTCTGAAAGTCATCAAAACTAAAGGAATCGCTAGCTTGAGATTGTGAAGCAGCCATTGGAGAAGGAACGAAGCTTTTCAGGGTTACGTAGCAAGAAAGCAAAAGATGAACAGTGAATCTTGAAAGAGACGCAAAAAATATGAGGCGTGGTTTGGTAGCAGTGAAATGGCGTGTCTGGGGTTTATAAGGGTTTGCAAAACGACGCACTTTTTCAAGTTATAGAAGGAAACAATGATTGAAATTATTGGAAATTTCGAATGTTGCTGGAAACACAAAGTGAATATGGCAAAATTCAATAATTATTATTAATTCTGCCATATTGGGGGGTAATTGTTGACACATAAAAATTCAGCCCAAATCGAACAGCTCAAGTAGTGAAGCCCAATTGGAGGATCCCCAAATCAGATAGCCCAAAGAACGAAGCCCAATCGAACAAATCAAGATGAAGGCCCAAATAAGGAGGCCCAAGAATGCGATAACGCCATCGCCCAAGTTTGCAAGTCGCCCAAAATCTGAATGAATAGAGTGTCATACGGTCGCCCAGAATTGTTACTCTATTCTCGCCCAAACCTTCAAGTCGCCCAAGGTATTAACAAACATAACGCGTCGTGGTTATCAAGAAGTGCAGTTATCAAAGCAGTTATTAAAGCAGCCCTATCACGTTCCACAATTCAAAGAATTCAATCGAAAGTGGTTGAACGATGAAGGGTAATGACAGCAGTTAAAAGGCAGTTTTCATAACAAGGTGGCCATTACGAAGAAAGTGGGTAGTTATAGGACGATCAAACAGTTTTTATAGGAGTTGATCACAAAGAGATCGTCTATGAAGTATAAAAGGGAGAAAGGACATAGAAGCAAAGGACCGAATCCAAAACTCTCGAATAGAAAACATGTAATTTTCATTTCCTTAGTTTTTAGATTTAAGCACTTTTCTTTCAGTAACTCGTGTGCTTGCGCCCCTTGGAGGCACGTTGTCTTTCTTTTCCAATTGTAAAGTTTATCATCAATAAAAGAACACCCCTTTTAGGGACTTTGTCTCAAGAGGTTTCGTCCCTTACACAATCGTCTGATCCTTTTTAATTGTTAGCGACTAACTCGCGCGAAACAAGTATGAAAGTTGGAATGAGGAAGATAAAACAGAAATGTATTTTAATTTGGACTAGAATTGTGCCAGAAATTAACTCTAAGAATGGAAGGATTTGGGTAGTGAAAAAGTTTCCAAAATTTTGAGCGTGAAATATGGTATTGGATTTGATTTATGACTTTGCATTTTTAATTTTAAAAGATAGTATTTTCTGAAATAAAAAATAAGGGAAAGTAACAATGGTATTATGAATTTAATTAAGGTAATGCGTGTAATTTCCACAAATAATAAACTGGGGCCCAAAACAATCAGGGCGATAACAACTAAAACGGACCCAAAAATTGGGCCATACACAAACCTATCTTGCAAAATGGAAATAAAGAAAGAAAAAGCAAAATGGAGTTTGAGAAAAGAAATGGGGTCCAAGGTCGACCACAACTCCCCAAATTCCATGTACTTGGGCAGTCGTGTTCAACGAAAGCGCCTCATATTTCTTCAATATATTTTCAATCTCATTCTCTAAAAATCATTTTTTCTCGAATTTATTTTGAATTCCACACTCTTAATTACTTTTTAACCACAACCACAAATTGTTATTTATTTATTTTTATTTTTTTTTAACTCTATTTCAAAACTTGTATTTTCAAAAAGAAAAATGTTGAAAACCCTGCCACCTCTGCTCCCGATTGTGATGACGGGCCCCCAAGTGTAGACGATCAACTGGATTGGAGCCCGAGATTTAAACTCGGGCTCTGTAGCACAATCCTTTCAAAAAATGAGACTCAAATAGGTCCCATTGAAACCATAGTGTTGTATTTGTTATAAAATTTTGAGAAATTCATCATGAAAATATTCATTTTTGAATGGAAAGCTTAGTATGATTATGAGTCACAATCTATTAAATATAATGTAGACATTCAAATTATACACGAATTTCAGTTAAATTGGATATGAATGATTTCATTCAACTTTGCATGAACTTTTACATTGATAGTTTCGATCATTGTGGACCCAAATTCACATATTTATATAGGCAGAGGAACAAGAACTTCAAATTCGAAGGTTGTAATTTTTGAACCCGTGATCTCGTCATGTAAAAGGTTGATATGCATGAGTCTAACATTAAATTTACGTATTGAATAATATTAAATTACAAAGATAACAATTGAGAACCTAACTAAAGCCATGTTAAGTGTAGATTTTGGTAAAAGTTGATAAAATGTAAAATGTGTGATTCCTTGCAATTTTTATCAACTTTTATTAAATATGTATAAAAATTTTAATCAAATATTATAATGAAATTACAATTTTTAATCAATTGAAAGTGATGGATCTCAACGTCACATAGACGAGTCATTAGATTATTACATTTTAGTAGAGAAGAAATTGATAATAAAATTTTATATATTATATTGTCTAATCCTATTTAATGTTGTTAACCAAATATGTATAAAATGAAATCCACACGCAAAGTGGTACAAAAACCATGATTGAGCTCTAGAATAAGAATAATGTTACTTACAGTCACTTATTATCACAGTCGTCCTACGTAATACACATGTGAGGGTTAGTGATTTGCTATACAATACAAGAAAAAATTATCACATTAATATATCAAATTACAAACAGCCATATAAAATGTCATGTAGGATAGCTACCGCATTGAGCGATTATAAATAACATTACTCCTAGAATAACCCCTCCGTCGATGTTGAAATTGAAGCAAATAGGATGTAATTTCTGAAAAATCATTGCACATATTTTTTATAAATGTTATTTATTTAAAGCAAACATTACTTTGGTAGACAAGATACTGATGGGACTTAGGCCCTATTTGACTCCCTTTATTTGAAAAATTAAATAGTTTTGAATAGGATTTTTAGAGAAAGTATGGTTAAAAAGTAATGAAACTTTATTGGTTTATGTATTGAATATTTTATTGTGTGAATGTGTGGTAGAGAATTATATTGTGACAAATAATTTAAATTTAAAAATTCAAAAATTTTAGCATCTAATTCTAGGAGCTTGTCCACGTGCTTAATTCATTTATTGTGAAAATTAGATTTTTATTAGATTTTGACAACAATTAATAAAATATGTTATTAAAAATTTGATAAAAGTTGTAGATTAAAATTAATTGTTAACCCCTGCCTATCTTTTCATCAAAATTTTAAACCAGGGCAAAGGTTGTGTTTAAAGCAATTCTTTTCAATAAATTCTATAATTAGAGATATTCATAAAAAAATATGTGGTTAAAGTTTAGAAATAAATTATGGATCCATATGAATTATTTTATTGGAAGAATATCAAGTTAAAAATAAGTTTGAAAAAAATAATTTTTTAGAAATATGTACCATGTAGAATTTAATGGTGCATTTGGTTTGATGTTTTTATATTGTTTTCAATTTTCAATTTTGCAAAACGCTGAAAATGTGTTTGGTCAAATATTTCTAAAAATGCATTTTCAAAAATAAGGATAAACTTATAACATAAAATTTAAAATGATCATTTAAATAAAATTTCAAAAATAAGGATAGATTTATTACATAAAATTCAAAACGATCGTTTAACATGGAAAACAATCGTTGAAATAACTTTTCAAAAATTTTAAAAAATTAAAATATAAAATTCTAACAAATAATAATTTTTCAAAATTTCGAACTAAACATATTTTCTAATTTTTTATTTTGAGAAATAATTTTTCAAAATAACAAATCAAACATATTTTTAGTAATCTTAAAATAGACTCTCAATCTAGAAAATTTAAAATGAATTCAGAACCCAAAATTGAAAAATTGAAACACAAACGTAACAAGTCTTAAATTTTTAGAAATAAAAATTGACATTATGGGCCGATCCAATTAACAATATTGATGGGTTCGAGGATATGTCCAATTATCAAATTTGAAAAACAACATGAGATAGATTAATTTAAATTCAGATTATACTATTTGTACATAAATATAGTACATAACAAGTTAATAAAATGATGTTAGAGGAAAAAAATTGGATGAAAATTTGATTGTATATTAAATTAACAAATGATAAAGTGACGTGTGAAATTATGTAACTCATTGTATAAAATTTGATGTACATGTATCAAAGTCAACATCTTCTGGACCTCTTCTTGAACGAATATACTCACTCAAGGGCAAAGCCTGGGGTTCCCAAAAAATAAAATCAAATTATACGGGCTAATGCATTAAAAAAAAAAATCGTAATTTTTTCCCTTAACAAAATTAATTGAGCTTGGGTAGGGTTTTCCAAAAACTAGTCTTGGGTTTTCAAGTTGGAAGGAGTTGAAAATGAGAGACACGATAATATTCTTGAAAGGAGTGCTAATAACCTACGGATGGGATGTTGGTGGTTGAAATCTCATGTCTCAGAATTTCGAGGTCACAACTATATATTTATTTTAAGAATGGGTTTGATTAATCACATTTATTTTTTATGAAAAATATCAATGTTCTAACCAAATTCTTATTTGGAGTGTTTGATAGCTATTTTTTTTTAGGGAAAACATTTTTCAACTTTTGAAAATATGCCGTAGGGTGTGTTTGATAGGGTTGAAATGGAATTAGAATTGTATTTTCCAACTTCAGACGTTTGATACATTTTTTTTTTCCCATGGAATTCTAATTCTTGGTTGTCTTGAAGTTTGCACTTTTCTTGGTTTTTAAGGAAAACCAATTCACATCGTATATGCTAGGAAATTGGTTTTTCTACCTACTGCAGCATTTTTTTTTTCATTTTTTTGCAATGAAAACAAATTTTAAGAATTATTGTATAAAAATATTTCCATTTAAATGACAATTTTCATTTAAAACAAAGTCAAACGAATACCGAAAGATAAATGATTTTCTTAAAATTTTTGTTTTGTTTTGTTTTGTTTTGTTTGTTTGTTTGTTTGTTTTTTATGTTGGCAATGGAATCAAATTTAATCTCCAATACCAGTAAAATATATCCCTTTAATTGACAATTTTTATGTAAAACAAAATCAAACGAACACCAATAAACACTTTTATTTCAACATTTTTCACGTGAAAAATTATACCAATCAAACACAATAATTTACAATTCTCATGAAAGACAATTCAATTCCTTGAAATTCATTTTCTAAACAATTCAATTCCATCTTTACAATCAAACAGACCCTAATTTTCATTGTTTTTATGGAAAACATTTTTTTTTTGAGTGGATGTGGTTTTTGTTTTTCACCAAAGAAGGAAAATATTTTACTTTCTATGTGATATTTTCCATACCAATCAAATACACTCTAATATTAAGTGCGTGAAAGCGTCCATGCAGAGTTTAAGGCTATAGAAGAAAGAATCATATATGATGTTAATATTATTCACAGTCGTTTACTACCGTATTCATCCTACAAGACATACATATGACAGCTTGTGATTTGATACATTAATGTAATAATTTTTATTACTTTACGTAATAAATCATTAACTGCTACATATATGTCACGTAGAGCGATTGTGTAACGCCCCAAACTCTCAGAACTCAAAGCTTAAAAAAAATCAATCTTTCTTTGGTTTGACTCCTTTGATGTTAACCAAAAAATTGTAAATAAGAAAAAATTTGGAGTTTGAAATATATGAGAAATAATGAGACATTTGTCAATGTAAACTTAGACAAGTTTGGTAAAATTTGATTTTTGGAAAACATTTGAGAAAAATTCAGCAATTACCAATTGCACAGTAGTGGAAAGAAAAATATGTTTGGTCTAGCACGACGACTAAAAATTATGAAATTTTAACAGAGACTAAAACATTCATATTTGTACAACATATAAAAGTTAGGGATCTTGACGATAATGTTTGAAGTATGAAAATATTGTTTGACCATGCTGGACAAAAAATTTGGATCTAACCTAACACAGTTTACTAAAACGAGCATAACTTTTTCTCTAGTTAATATTTTTGGGTAATTCCAAAGGCCATTATTATAAGACTCGTAAAACTTTCAAATATCACTGACTTCACTCTAAAATATATGCTATAGCCTTAGTTATGCTACTTTGAGTAGAAGGGCATAATCTAAAATTTCATTACAGCAATACTTAAACTTTATGCATAGACAAATACAACATTTATAAATTATAGTCGACATACAATGCATATAAAACTAGATGAAAAAGATATCTAAACAATTTTAAAGGTGTCATCTCAGTATTCAAAACACATTTACACATACTAGAAATTTTACTAGAAAGTTGCAGCTTTTTAAGTCACCGAGTACTTGCCACTTTGCCAAACCACGACCATGCCTCGAATCAACCTGTAATATTTTAATAGGGATGAATACCACAAATAATACTCAGTAGGAAGGCATTGAAATAAATGGTAAAAATATATATATTTTCAGAAATGCAAACGTTGGTCATTGGTGTCACCGCAATCTCTTTCTTTTATTTGAAACACCAAACGGTGCTTCCTTCATTAGTAACACAACAACACAAATACAAACTTTGGTTATTAGTGTAACCTTCAATCGTTTACTTCATGAGTAATACAATAACACGTTTAATGCAAAACCAAAATAAATAATTTTTATATCACTTACAGAAGTGCCGAAACACCCATACCTTAATATTTGGAGTTTGAATATCCTTTCGTGTCCAAGGAAATAAAATGCAGCGTATATTTCTTCAAAGAATTTTTAGATTTAAAGGTTCTTTAATTTATGGAAAAAAGGGCAAAATAAATTTATATATAGATATAATAGTTTGAGAGAGAAAACGTGGCTAAATGAGTTTAAATTTGAGTTGTCAAAATAAACTTATGACTTTGAAATCTTAGGGTGCATTTGATTGCACACATTTTCTATGGAAAACGGGTTTTTCCACCTAATTTCTTACTTTTGTCTTGTTTGATTGACAATTTTTTCCAAGAAAAATATTTTCCGTATTTTGGTCACGTGACCACATTTTCCTTGAAAACAAGGAAAATATTTTCCTTGGGGTAAGGTGGAATTTAACCCTTCCAAAAATTCTAGTAACCAACCCACGTGAATATCTCTCTCTCTCTCATCTCTACCCACGTACCGTCTCTCTCATCAATTCAACCTGCTCTCATCGATTGAAAGGAACTAGGAAGGCGTCTCACTCTCTCATCGATTCAACCGAACCAGGAAGAAGAAATCGACGATTTGCCTCTGGGGAAATCACTGCGAAAGGTTGGCAACGAGGCGATGACTGCATAGATTGAGGTTAGTTTAACAATCAACCCACCATATTCTTGATGTTTCAGTTTTGTCGATTCTCTTTGTTTAAAAATTGTTAGGGTTCGTTTTTTCATGGGTCCTCATTATTTCAAGTTGCAGATTCCAATTTTGTTTTTGTTTTTCTTGATTTTGAGATTCCATGTGATTGGATGCGGAATGGAACACGAATTCCAGAATTTTTCTCATTTGTAATCACCCCCAATTCTGTTTCTGTGATGTATGAGTAATTATTTATCAAACGCACATTATTCCAGTGATAATCTAAATCACAGGATACGAGCTGCAAATAAAAAGGTTTGGGACAAAATTGTAAAGCTGTTTAGGCAGTGCAATTTTGATGAATGTGTGGAAATTGGTTGTCTTCTATGATGATTATAGGGAGAGAGAAATTGGGTCCTGCATGGAGGTGGAGCTGCTGATAGAATTAGTGTTAGAATTTAAGTTGTATTTCTACCATGTGAGAACATACATGGATTTTTCTCTTGGGAATTTAGCAGAGTTGTGAGTTGGACAGAGCATTAGAAAATCTTCCTGCATGTTTGTTTTTTGATGTATAAAGCTCAAAGAAATCGGGATTAGGATTTGATATCAACAGATGAAGAGTGCATAATAGAGCAGCAACATCTCCTACTACTTCCTTTCCCTTGGCATAGTAAAGCATTGGTCCTGTCTACTACAATATTTAGGAAAAAATAAATTAGTTCAAAGAAACAAAGACTTATTCAAACATGTAGAGATATATTTTACCTCTAATCCACAATTTTTTTATGGCAACAACAGAAAGTTGATGGCATAAGACTTGCATAACGATGAAAATATAAGAGACATTATTTATGTTGAAACTTACTTCTATCTGCTTAGAAGAATGGCAGAAGGAGCAAGCAATTATGTCTATGTTCGGTGCATATTAATGTTGGAAACTGCTGTGTTGTCAAAAGGAGACGCTAATCCTTCACCAACTGATTTAGACAACCCATAATCTTGTTTTTTTTTTTTTTGTCTTTTGGCATCTTGTGTGTGCAATGGGTCTTGATGGAAAGTTATATCAGCAATTTCACAAGAAGCTGTATCAAAATCACCCTCAACTAATCTTTTGGCTCTATATACTCCAGAACTCTACATTTGTGAATGACAGCAGCTTAAAGACAGAAGATATAGTACCGCAATAATTTGACATGTTTAGGAACTAACATGTTTCTCACGTTAGCTAAAAAATTTTGCAAGTTAAATTTTACAACAGCAGAAATAGCAATTTAACAAGTATTGATTTTTATTCAAGAGTAGAAACTTTTAATCCAACAAATATTGATTTTACACAGTGAGTGTGCAAGCATAATCTATCATTAACAATAATTCGCAGACTCGTACATAATGGATTCAAAGCAAGGTCAGTTTCATGTGAGTGTAATGTATATCACCAATTATAGTTATACAAGGGCTAAATAAGTTTTGGGGATTTGATACCTATACGACCAATTTTCATTCACGAACGAGTAAGGGCTCTAAGAGCAGGTTGAATCGATGAGAGAAACAACCGATGACTAATTATATGCTCATCTCAACAAGTATTTATACGACACCTTTGTATGTCTCTTTATGGTATTTTGAAGCTAGTGGTTTCCTTCAACTGCACGCGTAAAAATATCTAAACAATGGATTGTGATGGATCTCTAACTTCGCTGTCTTTCTCTATCTCTAAAAGTGCTCATCCGTTTTAGGCAAGCATGTCAGTTTCTAGCCCAGTTTCTAAAAAATCAAGGTTTTTCACATGAATTTCCTCTTTATTAGGCGTTTTTATTCTGGGTTTCTTTAGCTTTGTCAAATGCGTTTTTCATATTAGTGAAAGCTTTTTCTGATTGTTGGATGAATACAAAATAAGACTGTAGAAATGCTTCATTTATGTTGCATTATTTTGACTAATTCTGGGGTCTCTTATTTTATCAAATTAATATAATCTAGTTTAGGTAAAAATATTTATTTGGAATATTTTGGGCTTGATGTCTGTTGTCCGACATTTTCTAAAAATCGAACATGGTAGCATATATGTAATATATTAGAATTCTCACCTTTTTGAATCGGATCTTTGGCTCTATTTCTATATATGAGCATGCTTAGATTATTAATGTCTAGTTATTTATGTGATTTTGCTGTACAGATAAAGAGTTGTGTGTGTGCTGGTTATAGTGCCGTGAAAGTGGTGTAACATGGGTATTTGAAGGTAGTGGGGTTTACAATTAAGATTGTAGAAACGGTGGAAGCAGAGGGCTCTAGGTTGGGGCGGCTCCTGCTAGATTCAATTGATACATTCAAGGTGTTTATAAAAATGAGAATGTGAAAAGTGATATTTTGTTACTTTTCTCTGAAAAAGTAGTAGTATCTCATTGGAGCAATTAACTAGATATATATGTGTGTGATTTTGGACATTTAAATATACGAATTCAAACATTGTTTTAATCTTACATTGAATTTGTATTTACCGTGGTAGTTTATAACATGGCTACAACAACGAATCAACATCGATGTCGACGACAACATTTAGGTTTATTTTGGATGATGATCATGCAAGCGATTGTGATATATAATGAATTTAGGTGTCGTGCACGACATCTTCTAAGAGCTCCTCATACAAATTGGAATTCTAAAAGAGAAATAACACTTACACGAATGTTTGGCACGAGTGATACAATATGTCGTGATCTCCTTAGGATGAAAATAGGTCCATTTCAAATATTATGTGCTCCTTTGCGAAGTTATGGATTGGTTGATAGGAAATACGTTCGAATTGAGGAACAAGTCGCAATTTTTTTGAATACAGTCGGGCATGACCAACGTAATCGTGCTGGACGTTTTACTTTCTTTCGCTCTGGTCAAACAGTGAGCTTTTACTTTCACAGAGTCTTACACGCTTGTCTTGGATTGTATAGAGATGTTGTGATTAATGCCACTCCTCATAACTCACCATACGAAAAAGAAAATGTGCAGCCATGATGCTCCTTTTTCCAGGTTAGTGGTTTGTAATTATTTCGTCATATTTCTTAAAACTTCAATATACACATTTATTTTGAAAAGTATTCTTTTTTAAAGGATGTCGTAGGAACAATCGATGATATACATATTGCTGCGTATGTGCCTTTAGAGGAGCAAGGTAAATATCGCAATAGAAAGCAAGTGATCTCCCAAAATGTTTTAGTAGCTTGCACATTTGATATGAAATTTACTTACGTGCTTGCCGGTTGGGAGGGATCCGCACATGATGGTCGATTGTTACGGAGTGCAATATTACACCAAGGACATAAGCTAGCAATTCCTGTTGGTAAGTTGTGTCACTATTTTATAAACATTTCTTCCACACATAAGTTATAATAATTACCTAATTACCATCTTATGAACGACTCTTTTCTAGGTAAATATTATCTTGTTGACGCTAGCTTCCCATCGGTTTCGGGTTTACTTGCACCATATCGTAGGACTCGTTATCATCGTAGAGACATTGAAGGTCAACGTCCTGAAAGTAGTAAGGAGTTGTTCAATTTTTGACATTCATCTCTACGTAATGTTATTGAGCATACAATTGGTTTGCTGAAAAAAAGATTTGCATATTTGAGACATCAACCCTATCACGACATTGACACACAAGCAAAGATAGTCCTTGCCTGTTCTGCCATCCACAACTTCTTAGGGATTGATGACATTGAAGATGTTTGTGAGGAGGACGATTTAGATAGTAGTGATGATGAGGTTAACCCTACGCATGTTGATGTACCTGAAGATGAAACTCCAAATGCTGACATATCTTTCACAAATCAGGAAGTATGGTCTAATAAGAGGAATGTGATTGCTGATTTAATGTGGGCTGATTATCTTCCCAATCAGAATGCGGGAATTGATTTTGCTTGAAATCTGATTTCTTTTTTTCCTTTTTTTTCTTGTGGCGTTTTTTTCTTTTTTTTCTTTTTATGTAATGGATATATACTTACTAGACTTTCATCTGTCGTAATTACTTGAATTGAAGACATATTGACATGAAGCATATTTTTTATTTTTTTTTCCATGTCCTATAATAGTTTACGTAAGCTTGCTAGAATTTTAAATATTGTAATTTGAATTGCTGTTATTGGAGACAAATTGTTGACATGTAATTTTCTTAAATGTTCTTATTTATTGGTTGACCATAAACAGTTAATTTTGCACTATAGATATCATGGCAAATATTCGACAAAGCTCTACAGCTCCTTATCGAGTTCCTAGACCAACCCTCCATTCAGATGTGGAGGAAATAAGCTCAACTCAAGCGGATCCTAATTCTAGGAATCATCAAATACGTTAGAGTGATGCAATGGATGGTTGTATGGTAACTGCACTACTACATCAAGTGTTTGGCTAGTCACAAAAGAAGTGACAATGGCTTTTCATCATTTCACGTGTCCAAAGCAATCGAGAGTGTGCACAATGGATGCGGAGTCGTGGTGTCTGATAAGAATGTGAGGGCGCGATTGAAAACTCTGAAAAAAGAATATGTTGAAGTTCATCAGTTGTTAAGTATGAGTGATTTTGGGTTAGATCCTCACACTGGACGTGTCACAGTCGATGTACTAGTTTGGGAGGAGTTGTTGAAGGTACAAAATTTCATTGACCAACTAAAGTATTATTCTTTAAATATTAGTAATATAATTTATTTTAACCACTGACTAGCGTAAAACATATTTCACTCTTTTTCTTGTAGGGCAAACCAGAATTTGGAAAGTGGAAGACCAAACTTTGTTCTCGTTATAATGATTTGGAGGCTATCTTTGGATATGATTCTGCTACAGGAGATCGCGCTGTAACCGGCAATGACATTTTATCCCCCGATCATGGTACGTACTAGATCGTACATAAAAAATTATATAATTCGTATTATATTAGAGATTCTAACAAATTCTTATTTTATTAATTTTTTTAGATGAAAATGTGCATGAAGTTGATGGTCAAAATGAGGATACGGAACCAAGCCCCATTCGCGCTCCTAAGGGTAACACCGAAGGAGGAACTAACAAAGTTCGCCGTCGATGTACCCAACCTAATGATGAGAGTCTCGTTGCCCTATGAAGCATTTCCGAATCATCTAAAAAAATTGCTAATGCTATGGAGACTCAAGCACCATTAGATACACTAAACCACATCAATTGGCAGTTGGTTCTAGAAAAATTACAAGGCATGAGTATAGAAAAGAGTGATATAATGCAAGTAATGAAAATTTTTCGATCGGATGAGAGTCTGGATAGAGTATTTATGAGTTTGACTAATGAAGAATTCATGCGTGATTTAGTATTTGAAATTTTGGGCCGTGATCCGCCTCCGCTATTTTGAGATGACGTGCTTGGATAATTCAACAAACATATGTGAAAGTATGACATCTATGTTGATTTTATTTCCTATTTTCTTATGATAGAGATTTTACGGGTTTTTTCATTTTCGTTTTATGTAATACGTTGGACGAAATTTCATCATTATTTATTGAATTGATTATCTGATTATTATTTTTGATTGCAAAGAAGAATATTTAACTAGTAGTAATCTGAATTGGTAGGGATAATTATTTCATTTCGACAGTGTTTATGCATTTTTCGTTCCGAATATTGGCATGTTTTTATCCACAAATTAACTGCTATATTAATTAGGATTGATTAGGATTTGGTCGAATTTATGTCTATAATTTGTTTAAGAGTTGGAACATTCATTGACAAATTTTCATGGAAAAAGTGACAATTTTCATGGAAAATAGTGGTTGTCAAACAGATAAAATTGAAAAAAATAACAATTTCCATGAAAAATAATGACTATCAAACACCTAAAGTTGGAAAATTATAACATTTTTCAGGTTGAAATTTAAGTCAATCAAACGTGTGTAATTAACATTTTCCATGTAAACAATTTTCAGGCAATTGAATTACCTGGAAAATATTTTCTTTCCATGCAATTTTCCTACTTGCAATCAAACGCACCCTTAATCTTCAATTGGTGAATAGGGACATGCAGGTTAACATCCAATTTGACCAAATGGCAGCTCTAGAAACAAGAGAAATGGAAACTAATATGGTAAGTGGGGGAGTTAATGGATAACATGGGAGTTGTAATTTGATTTTCAGTGGTTAAGAATTTGAAATATAAATCTTTAAATTCAATGGATGAACGGGGAAGGTTTTGGCATTGGCAAAAGTGGAAGTTATTAAATTGGTAAGTTGAATGTTGTGTGTATAAGTGGTGGATGATGAACGTGCAAGTTAACAACCAATTTCAAAAGGCAGTTTTGTATTTTTGTATTTTTTTCTTTTTGGCAGTTGACAAAAATGGGATTAAAATGGTAAGTTGAATTTTTTACAAATGCAGATTTGTATGTGCAACATAACTTCCAAATTTAAAAAAAAAAAAAAGGCAGTTTAATATTCATACATATATATATTTTGGTAGCTAACAAATAAAATGGAAGTTAATATAGAAGTTGGGTAGTTAAATAAACTTAGTGGATGAAAAAATCGTAAGAAGAAATCAAGATAATGGAATTGAACTTGAGCATAACAAGGCTATCTAATTTTTAAAATTTAAGGTAGCAATTAATATAAAATGTGTCGTAAAAAATAATGTAACAACATAATATTTTGTCATCTAAATGAGATTTCGACACCTTGCAAAATTTTTAAAAAGTATGTGAACTCTACTATCATGACCAAATATTTTAATTTGAACTTTTGAGAAAGTGTTGTAGCAACATAATAATATAACTCGCATTATATTCGAGTTATACAAGGAAGTTTTATTTTAAAACGAAATAAAACATTTTTTTATCGCTACAAACTATGGTAGTGAACGACTGCAAATAGCATTATTTGATGTACAAAAATGAATGATAGAAGTCACACAACATTATATCGTTCGACAATTTTAACCAAAAAAAATAAAAATTTACAATCAGTAATTTTTGCCAACAAACCAATTATCAACAAACTTGTAATTCACGATTCTACAAATAGCATTATTGTACAAGAAAAAAACATGGGCATGCTGACCTCATGCAATAGTATACATACAAAGTGAGTAATATATTTGTCTCATAAAGATAAGTTTCCTTTCATTTTCAGATTGATTATATTTTATATAGGAGTAGTTTATATTTGTTGATAATAATATACATAAAATAAAGACATATTTAAAAATTGAAAAAACAATTATCCTCTCAACTTGAAAAGTGATGTATTAAAGGCTGCACAAAAAAATTCGAAACTGCAAATTGAAATGAAATCGTTGGTTCAGTCCATGTTGATCTGCGGTCCATTTTTTTCCCTCAAATCGAACCAAATCATTAAATGATTTGGTTTAGGTTTCAAATTTCAAAAATCACACTAAATCTAACTAAATTGTTTTAATTTTTTTTTAATTAAAACATTACTTTTATTAAGTTATAAATTTTATTTTTTTCACTTTTCCAAAACACACACACACACACACACCAATTTAATAATGCAAATTACAATCAGCCTATTGAAATAATCGTAAAAGTAAATTAGGTTTATCATTATTGACCCATGGTTTAACAAGTTCACAACACATGTTGTCACCCGAAATCTAAATTGAACTAAAATTATTCCTAAATCATATGGAATTAAAAAAAAACATATATTTTAGACAATTCAAATCATAATTAAACAAAACTACTGAAGCAAATCATGTTTAAAGTTTCAAAAGCTCTAACATAAATTATCATTTTCAAAACATTTGATGCTTGTTTGCCATCGCTGAACGAATCGTCAATTTTTTTTGCCTATTAGTCTGCTAATTTTTACCTGAATCGCTTTTTTTTTTCTCTTCTTTCTCGGTAAGTCTCAGATTCTTATTCAAACCATTTTTTTATTATTCTTTCTTTTATTTGTTGTTTTTTAACTTATTATATACTTGTGAGTTGTATTTTGGATAGAAAAATGACTGTTTGTGTGTTTAGATGATTAATGAACTCGTCTGTGGTTTGAAAAGAATGAAGAACAGAGCGTATTGATTGTGTGAAAATGTTAATATTCCCTGACTAATACTACTATATTCTACTTTCATAAAATAGTTAGAGGATGAAATTCGTTAATTTCCAATAAGCCTGAACTGTATTAATCTTTGTACATCTAAATATATCTTATTTAATCCTCATTTAACATCACACTAGTAAGATGAAAAAAGTTTTAATCGAATTATAATAACAGAATGTGATTCTACTTTTACCAATCGCCACACGATAATATAAAAGTCAAACAAGAAAAGGTAAATAAAAATGAATAAAGATATTTTTGTTCTATTAATATCTTTTAGCAACCAACTTAGAAAATAATTTATTCACAAGTTTCATGTTAAATATGAATGTAATTTAACATTATTAATTATCGCTTAAACTTATATATTAACTTGTTTTAAATATATTACTATAATATCAATTGGTAAGTCGCATATTAAAATCGAACCAAATTGTAAATTATGGTTTGGTATAGAAAAATTTCAAACCGCATGAAATGGTTTAAGTTGAAAATATAGCACAAATCGTCCTAACCGAATCGCGTTCACTCGTATGTACCGGTGCAATAAACATACATATTCGAGTATAAGACTAACAAGAGGATTCCGACACTTGTTCCTTCCAAATGTTTAGATCATAAAACTTTTTATATTTTTAATATAGTCTCTGTTTGGTAGTGTTTAAAATTAGATTTTATTAAATTTTGATAAAAATTGATGAAATATATGGTTAAAAAGTTGCGCATCACATCAATATAATAGCTGTAAATTCATTAAAATTAAAGTTAAAATTAATAAATAAATAAATTTTAATTCATACCAAACATTGACATAGCTTAAATGTTCTCTCTCTCTCTCTCTCAATCATAAAATATGATGAAACATTGAACATAGAACAAGGGTGAGGTATACTCAACTTTTCTGGCAGTTGCATTGTGAGGGTTCGACTCCTAAAATATGGATTGTGATTCTTTGTGAACATCAGTGTATAAGGAGCTTTTGTTTCCTAACCTGTTGGGACACATCTCGCAATTAACCTCTCTCACAATATTTTAGGGACGAGGCAATGAAAGATTCTTAAGATTGGGTTTCAGCCTTTATAAAATATGATGAAAAACTAACGTGATATTGGAACAATAAGTAAAGGACTAATGATGTAAGTTTCTATATAAAAATACAAACAAGCGTACACGTCCAATCATTTTAGTACATAAGACATGATGGATCCATGTCGGCAAAATAATTTATTTTATTTAACTCGTACTTGTGTAGTTTATATATTGTAATTTGTAGCATAGGAAAAGGACAAATACTGATAGTGCTTTATGAGTTATATTATAAATTAAGCCCCATTTGGCCCAATTAATTTTGATTATAATGGAGAAATAGTATTTTTTTTTTTTTTAAAAAGAGACGATTGTAAATGAATGAAAAATTTTCGTGTTACATGTAATATTATTTTATTAAAAATTATGTGATTAAAAATAAGAGAGAGAAAAATTACACCAATGCTAAATGTATATAAGAGGAGTTCATAGAACTCCTTCAGATGAGACACATGGGGTGGGCCCCATATAATTAAAATATTGTCAAAAAAATCTTACCCACCCCACTTCTTGTGTCTAATCTGGTAGGAGTTAGCGAATCACATCCTGTACATGTATCATCTCTCGAAAATTTAATTTAAATTGATGAAATGTAACGGGGTCAAACAAGAGCTAATTCTCATAAAACTTTAGTTCATGCTTTTGCTAAAAGGATATAATGAGTAAAAAATCTTTGTGCAACTAAAATATAGTTACATTAACAAGAAAAAAAAATGTTGTTGAAAGATTTCCAAATTCATCAATAAATATAGTTAAACCGAACAAATTAAATATTAATAATAAAAATCTACAAATCACAAATATTATATTATGTAACACTTTACGTACCAAGTTTTTAAATATATTTTATTTCTAAAAGTTAAGTTAATGTTTCATTTTCATTTAAAAATTTTATATCCATTTTCTAAAACTCATTTGTCTTCAAACACATTTTTAACTACATTTTATGGTACTCACAACTTTTATCAATCACTTCACTAACTTTAATTAAAATCTAATAAAAAATTAATTTTTAATTAAACCAAACATGGGCTTAATTTTACTTATATCAGTCCATAATTAATTAACATTCAATCGAGTCTTTTCATTGCATCACGTACATAGTTTTATTTTCTATCTTCATTTTTGTACAAAGTTATATGTTTTTCTTCACTATATTAATATATTCTTCTCTTATACGAAGCTTCCTTGCAAAAAGGGAAAAAAATGCATTTGCAATAGATACCAATAAATTAGACATACATTTTTTTATAATTTATTAAGCTGCTAATTATCCCAACTTAAAATTTGTAAAAAAAAACTAAAAATTACAACTAATTATATTGAAAACTATTGTAATAGATTTTTATTTTATTCATTGAGCAAAATTATTAATTATAAGATAGAAATTAATATTTTTAACAA